AGAGCGCTGTGCGTAAAACACTTTCATCTCTAGACGTCAACAAGGCGAGTGGGCCGGACTGCATTCCTGCGATTGTATTAAAAACGTGTGCTCCGGAGTTAACACCGGTTTTAACGCGTCTGTTTCAACTATCTTACTCTTCCGGCACTGTTCCGTCTTCGTGGAAGACTGCTCTTGTCCACACCATTCCGAAGAAAGGCAATCATTCAGATCCCTCAAATTATAGGCCTATCGCGATTACCTCTCTTCTGTCCAAAGTTATGGAGCAAATTATTAACACCCAACTGCTGAGTTACCTTGAGGAGCACCAGTTCATCAGCGATCGTCAATACGGCTTTCGCTACGGCCGATCTGCTGGTGATCTTCTTGTATACCTCACGCATCGTTGGGCGGATGCTATTGACAAAAAGGGGGAAGCTCTAGCGGTCAGCCTCGACATCGCTAAAGCCTTTGATCAGGTTTGGCATAGGACTCTACTTTCAAAATTGCCATCCTGCGGACTTCCCAAGAAGCTGTGCAATTGGGTCGCTTGCTTTCTTCATGGGCGCAGCATCAAAGTCGCTGTCGACGGTTTTTGCTCCGAACCTAAGCCCATCAACGCTGGCGTCCCGCAGGGCTCCGTACTGTTGCCTACACTGTTCATTCTGCATATCAATGATATGTTGCAAATCAGCAAAATCCATTGTTATGCAGATGACAGCACTGGCGATGCTCTATATAAAGGTCAAGCACAGTTCTCTAGCGCAATGCTGGAAGAGACTAGATCCAAACTTGTGTCTGACATTGAGACCTCTCTCGAGAAAGTGTCAGTATGGGGTTCACAAAACCTTGTGCAATTTAACCCCTCAAAACACAAGTTTGCGCGTTTACCGCCAAAAAGACCCCTTTCACCACACCTCTTCTCTTTTAGAACACTGCCCTCACCCCCTCCGATAGCATTGGGATTCTTGGTGTTCACATTTCGAACGAAGTCCAGTTCCGGGATCTCTTGGAGGGAAAAGCTAAATTAGCCTCTGAAAAACTTGGGGTGCTCAACAGAGCTATGCGGTACTTTGCGCCAGAGCACATTCTCCTACTTTATAAATCGCAAGTCCGCCCACACATGGAATATTGCTCTCACCTTTGGGCTGGAGCACCTCGGTATCAACTCCTTCCATTTGACTGGATTCAAAAGGGGGCAGTACGGCTTGTGGACGACCCCAAATTAACTAGTTCATTGGAAAGCCTGGAACACCGCAGAGACGTAAGCTCTCTTTGCGTATTCTATCGGCTATATAACGGGGAATGTTCTGAAGAGCTATTTTACCTTATCCCACCCTCTCTCTTCTACAACCGCACCGCACGCCACCGAAAGCAATTTCACCCTCACCACCTGGGGACCTGGAGCACTTCGACTATCCGTTGAGCCAGACCATTTTTTCCACGCACTACCAAACTGTGGAACCAACTCCCATCGATTGATGTTGTGATCGATTCAAGGGGCGGACCAATAAAGTCCTAAAAAGCCGGCAACGCATTAGTGGTGCCTCTGGTGCTACAAATATTCATGGGCGGCGGTAATCTCTTAACATCAGGAGACCCGCCTGCTCGTTTGCTCGCTAATATTTAAAAAAAAAGAATAACATCACTGGATCACGACGTTACTAGGTTAATGCCGTTTAAAAAAATTTTTTTAAAGAAAATATTATCACTAGAACACAAGCGACAACACGTTTATAACGGGCTTAGAACGGTCATCATAAGCAGTTATAACCCGTGTGCTCACCGTATCGCCGTCCACGTGCACCAGTTCGGCAACGTCGCGTGCCAGGACGGACCGATTTGGTACCGGCAACATATTCTTGCTGATAATTATTGTTAACATGCACATGCACGGCACGCGACGGTGTTGGTCGGCGACGGAAAGGTCTTGGTCGGTGATGGAATGGTGTAGGGGGCTTAATCTCATATTTATCAATACAATGATTTTTTTTGCCTGACACAGTCCTATCACTGTCATGGTATGAGTCGGTGTAGTGGGCAGAGAACTTTAATTAATTGAAATTGTGTATATTATGTCAAAATAATAAAAAAAAAATTATAATAAAGGATTACCTTCATTACTAAAAGTGTATAATTTATCCGAACGTACATTATGATAAGC